TAAGCCCATGGTGCTGAATGATATTTACACTTTATTTTTGTGGTTTTGCAATGATGATATTAATAATTATTGTAAAAAAATACTGCGCTACAGAAATTCACCATTCACCTTCAAGGCCTTAATAAAACGTGCTTATAGTAAAAACAGTGTCCTTGTCAATTCATGGTGTCTCCGATAACAATGCCAATATTTAATTTGTATTGATATTTTTCTTATTGGCCCTTTTCACACACACTTGTATATATCCTCAATAAAGTCTGTGGAGTGAGACGGGTAATTTTACAGTTGGCTGGTTCTGTATATCTGGTGACAAACGCATGGAAGGGATTCAACCTCATTGATGTTTTTGCGCTTCCTTGTGCAGTCACACGAAAGGATGCACCCACGGCAACCCTGACACGTGTGAAGTGTTGTGTACTATATGCTGATGCGTGACTTGTTCACATGGCTGTGTATTTTTGGATCAGATCTCTTTGATTTTGTATTTAAATTTACCAGTTTTGACTGTCATGTCTATGCCCTTGGTAAAACCAATTCTAACACTCATCTGTAATAAATTTTCATTATTATTATTATTATTATTGTTTTTGGACCAGAACAACAGACTAATTCCACTACCGTTTTTTAATGATGTGCTGAGTGTCAGTGGCAGATCCGGGAATTTGAAGTAGAGGGGGCCCAGAGAGGGACTTTCACAGATGGAGAGTCTATACTACCTCAGTCCCACCATGGTTGGGGCTGAGGGAAGAAGATTTATGATTATGGCACCTCTAGAGGCCGGAAATGGCACTTTTAGACTCAAAATTTGAGTAGAATTTTTTTTTCTCAATTTTTTTTTTTAATCCATCACTGGTTTTTAAAGCTCTGTCTACACTTTCAAAATTTACTTTACAAATTTGTGTGATGTACCCATATATGGGGATGATGATGTCATATTACACCCAAATATGGGTATATCACATTTTATTTATATATCCCTTAAAATTTTATAGTGTAAACAGAGCTTTAAATTGCATAGAAGCCTATTGTGAGGACTGGGCCTACTTTATAGAGTACCACAGTCGTGTCGTCACAACACCAGGTGGCGCCCTCATGACGTTGGTTATTACCGTTCATTATGCCTGAATGACTTCATAATCTTAATGGTTTAGAATATGCTTTCTGGAAATAATCATTTTAAAACCTAATAATTTACCATCAAAATGTACTAAAAACACAAAAAGCTCGCATTACATTAGTTATCGAACACATATTTAATCATCAATTAACATTTTTACAAAGAAAAATTAAGATACAACTTCTTAATAATTACTTTAGAAATTGGGATCAATGGTTTGTGGATAGAGAAAATGGCGTCAGTTAACGCATTATTGTTATTATTTTATTGTTACTTGCATTTTCTAAGTTGGCCTATATTATTTCTTTGTAAAGCGCATAGGTGCAATGTGCAGTATGCGCTATATAAATATAACATTATTATTATTATATATTTTGTGTCGCCGATAGCAACAGAGTAGTATCATATGGTATCGTGACGTAACACTAGTACTCTATAGTTCTTATCTGAGGAGGTTTGTTCCAATAGTAGTTTGGTAGCATGCTTCTTGAACTAGCATTGATTGCTGTAAACTACACATGGTGGCACCCCAGCCATAACTGCTTAGCCAGTTGACAGTGCTTTGCCACTGTAGCACATAGGCCAATTGTCTTGCCACTTACAATAAAATCTGCAGTTCTCAATACCATTTTAAAATCTGACAGCCAGAATACTGACTTATAGTTATAATAGACAATAAAGTGTTAGTTGATCGAGTTGGTAAGATTGTCAGTGATGTTTCTTTTCCCTTTTTAATAATGTACATGATTCATTAATTTGCAATTAATTGGATGGTAATTTATGATATGCAGTCTCCAAATTAGCTGTGTCAAGAGAAAAAGGATGCTCCAATGGCTCGTAATAAACCCTATCAGCACTTCCATTCCCACTCCTAATATGTGTTTCAAATTATCAGTATTTATTTGCTGTAAAGATAGTATTTTAAATCCAGAATGTTCTAAACGCTTAGTTTGGAATATTTCTTGTGGCAAAATGCAAAAAATATGGTAGCGTACACTATTTTATAGGGTGATCTCGACTTCGTCTCGGGACATAGTACAGCCTCTAGATTTTCTCGGGCTATAATATCAATCTGTTTTTTTAATAATCGATTAACAGCAATTGAACATATATTCCTGTAGGTTGTACTATAAAGAAACTTGCATTTTGCTTTAAGTTTAACTTTGAAGCAAATTACTTTACCTAATCTGACTTATTAAAACATTTCTTAGCAAAAACTCTTACATCGGAAACATAGGAAGGCAAATCATGCTTCAGCCTGCGTGGGTGTTGATCTTGTGTTATATGTAGGGTACATGTTTTCTATGATGCACAAGAAGTTAGTTTACAACATCTTAAACTAACAACCATCCTGTTTAGTTAAGTGGTCAGATGTGGGATATGAGATTAAACATCACTCACATACTGTTTAAAGCCTATTCTTCATCCATATCTGGTTATTACTCCAGTAATTATTACCAAGGTCTAGCTGTTTATCGGTAATAATAATGAGGAGCCCAAAAAAAATATTTTACAGAGAATTCAAAGTGATCCTTTAGGAATTTCTACAAATATATTTGTTGATGAATGTTGTAAATATATGATAGATTGTTAAGTCTTGTACTTTTTCCATGTTTTTTTTTTTTTTTTTTTTTTTTGGTTAATATACGCCAGTAATTAATATAAAATACTGTTTGCCGATGTAATAATAATTGAAGATTCGTCAAAAAAATTTACAGAGAATACAAACTGTTCCTGTGGGAAGGAATATAAGTAATGTATGCAAATCTGTCTTTTATGTTGTGTAGGTCTACATAATTAAAGTGCTGCTATAGGTTGTTGTTTAATTTGAGTCATGCACTATTTGCATGTGTGTACATTCTCGCATGAGTTCTGTACTTCTAACATGCTTGTAGTTCGTACTCCAGATTAACAACGGATTATTAAGTTAATGATTCAAAATTCCTAGGAAAAAAATATTAAGATCTCATTTGGGAATTAACTTATTTAAATATATGCAAATATACTATTGCATACATGTATAAAATAACAAGTAATTGATTCCTAATACATTTTTTTTTCTAAATCTAGAAAATTATGTTGTTTCATAAGTTTCTTAAAATAAATTTATATTAGATTAATTTTTTCTGATATTTAAAATATGTCCTATCATTGGTCAGTTTGATAGCCATTGTGAGACTTCTTCAGCTAGACTACACCTAGGACTTGATTTTTTTTCCGGTATTAGAAGTTTAACTATATTCTTTATGAATGTAAGTCATAATTTGAGTTTGCAACCAGAATAGTTTAAGCCAAATTTGATGTAGAACAAATGTTTGTTTTAAGAATGCGTCATTAGTCACTCATTGTACATGCTTTCACAATTTAACATTCAACATACGATAATGGATAACTTATTCTTTCACATTTCTACATGCTTTCACAATTTACATTCTAGGTTACATACAATACTTGTTGCCTTATTCATTGAATGTACACAATCCTAATTTTTTTCATACGCTCTTACACAGTTTACATTCAGATACCAGTAAATTGGGTAAATGCTACATTGTTCACTAAATAATAGATATTTTTTTTTTTTATCATTTATGTATTTTTCTTCCTAACAAATTGACATTCTCACAATATATTTTTGAAAGTCATACCTTCTTTTTTGAACATCTTGCTGAATTTTATTCATTTCAGTAAAGCCCTACTGCAAATTAGAATATTTTTTAAAAATCATAAATATTTTTTATTTTTTTCCCCATCGATCTGTAATATTAAATAAATGGTCTACCAATTTTTCAGGATGAAATTTAAGCAATGCATTTTAAGCTTGAGTGTTTTGTATATATGGATTCAAGGTGCGGTGATTTTCCCTCAATCTGCTAAAATATTTCCACCTGTTAAATTTTTCTTGTTCGGTTCAGCTTTTGATCCTAAGCGGAAGTCTATTAAATGGTGTATTTGTTGATTCCCTTATGTGTAGCCTACTGCAACCTGTCCCTGAATTTAAATTTTGAAGTTAGGAAGTTTTAACTGGCACATTGGCCTAGCCTGTGAAAACCTGCTTTTAGTTTTTCGGTTGTGTTGTATGTTTTAAAGTGTCATTCTCATGAGTTGATTTATTATTAAAATTAAGTTTGGCATTTTAATATTTCTGTCAGAATTCTGAGTGCTGAGAAGCATCACTCACATATAGCTATGAAAAGCCAAATCTGCCAAAAATCTATATTGCAATTCATCATGAAACTAAAATATATTTTAAAACATTTCATGTAAAACCAAATCCTCGAAATCATCTCTGATATTGTCGAACCATAAATTTTTTTATGAACCTGTAATTTGACAAATTCCGTAAATCATCTTTAGCATAAAAAATTATTGTAGAAATTGGCAACGTATGGTTTGCAACAGCTTAAAGAATAAGAAGCATTTTTCAGGCGTCTGAGTAGTGTCTGATCAAAAGGATAAAATTGAAGCAAGTGGCCTGGGCACTCAATAATTGTTGTTGCCTGCTACTAATATTATCACTGTTTGTATTTCTAGAATCAAATGTTTTTAGATAAGTGCGGGCAACCTTGAAATCTATAATTTAATGTTTGCTAAAGAAATGTTAAATTTTGCTGGCGAGCCTCCAAAATTTTTGGAAACTGTAGTCGGCCAGACGCCATATTGGACAGTTTGTTGTACCATATCCAAATGTATTGCACTCTTCTGTCTGTGTTTTGCTTTTTTTAAATAATTAATGTTCCCAAAAATGTTTGAGTTTTTCTAAACTATTCCTATAATGAGAAATTATGTTTTGTCTCACCCTTTCTCTTTGATGTTTTCCAGACGGACGTTCTTTGGGAAATGATCAATTAGCTAATAATCTCAAATTTTTTTTTATCTTATCCAGAGCGCCAATCAAGAGGTTAATGCATTAAAATCTGAATTAGCAGAACGCGATCGGCGGTTGACGGAAATTGGGGAACACGGCAATATCCAAGATAACAAAGGTGTGTATTAACAAATTTTAAATAACTGTTGCATCCCTTGGAACGGTAGAATCACACCGTTTTGCGGTTCTGGTGATTGTAATAGTAACTCTATCAATCTGATAACTTGATTATCGGTTTGGTGAAAGTTAAAACTGTCAGGGAGTTTATGTTTTTTGTGCACTCAGGAGCAAAATATGAAATGCTATCTCTTGTTGACTGTCCAATTCACAACTCACTGGTTATTTATAGTTAATGCTTTTGCATTTCTTTAGCACAAAAAGTTAAGGTCTCTTGTCTTCCTATAATTGGATGTTTTGAAAAATTGATTGATATTTTTGATAAATGATGGATCGAGAGCATTGATGCATGAGAAGGAAATTAAATGAATGAAATAGTTAGTATTATTCATTTTATTAGATGTATTACTGCATTACATGAACTAAAAGTATGAACAAATGAATTAAATTTTTAAATTGATATTTATTTTATTCACTAGAATGGCAAAGACAGCAGGAAGAGAACGAACACCAAAAGGAATTACAGAAACTTAGAGATAGAAATAGCAAATTAGAAGCTGAGAACAAGAACTTGCTGCGGCAGCTTGATGACTTACGAGTCATCAATAGCTACCAGACTGAAATTCCACAGGCAAGCGAGCTTCAAATTCAGCTAACCAGGACTGAGCACGACTTGGCACGTGCTAAGGAGGCTCTTACAGGTATATTTGTTAATCACACCGACATAATTGTTTGTTTTTTTCTCCATTTTGTAATACTTTGGTCTATATCATGAATACTTACCTGGATGAACGGATATATGCCAGTTTCCTTTTTGGCCACATGCCTTCAAAAATAATGGAGTCGTCTGACCCACACAGTGCATATACAGTATGTCTATTTACTGTCTGTAATAAGCCTATTTTTCCCGTTTTTGCTTAATGCAAAATTGTATTAGTGGCGGATAGTTTCCCATTAAAATTGATGTTAGCTTAAAGTCAGGGAAAAGTCCTCAGGATTCTGTCGCCCGTGACGATTATAGTATCTGTCTATATATATGTTATAGACTTTCCATTCCAAATTTCTTCACTGCAGCCTAGCACTTATTCCACCAGTGTGGAAAAAGAGAAATTTAATAAGGTTCTGGTTCTGGTGGTTAAAGCCAACCTCACAAGGACTCCAAACATAGGAATATAATTATTAGGAGGGGTAGAATAGGGTGGAATAATAGGAAAGGTCCACCAACAGTTTAACAATGCCAATGCTCATGTGATTGTGAGTTTCTTACCTGTCAGATCCATGCCCATGGGGCCTGAGGCGATATGGCAAGTCTTTAGGAAGAGCCTATTAGCTGAAGCTTGTCTCAACTGCCCCATTACAATATTTTTTTAGTATACTCACATTCCATACACTAGGGGAGAATTAGTACAGAAATAATTGCATCCAAAAAATTCCTAAAAAAAGTTATTGTAAGGTTTAGGCTTGTACCTGTGTGAAGGATTTGCCTGAAAATTTCATAGATTAAAAAACGCAAGGAATTGGCTTATCGTATATCAGAACTGTATGGTACAACTATCATTTTGATGTTTATAGATATTATATTGTCCTTTGTGACAAATCTAAAGATTAGGCTAAAGTCAGTGAGTCAAGTTAGGATACAAGGGTATTCATGATATTTACCATACATCATACATTAAGTACCTTCTTTATTTCCTGCCTGCATTCATCATCTTAATGTGCAGTACTGTACCCTGGAAAGTATGGATATCTAGGACCCTGGATGTTTGATGCACTACCCTGGAATTACGTAAATTCATATTTAACTGGGCTGTTGTTGTTCCTGTAAATATTATGGATTCAGCATGACTGACCTACTTCTAGGAAAATATAAACCGTTGTTTTCTTGGTGGTTTTTTTTTTCAGGTTTTAGTATTCTTTTTTTAGCTATTGAATTTTTTGGCTCATTTCCTTTACACCAGGTCAGAATTCATCAGGTCAATCATCATAAGTCATAATTTGTTGTCATGGTACAATATATAATGTGGATAAATAAGTTGATGTTTAAATGAGGCCAATTAAAGGCCTGTCAGTCAGTCAGTAAGCAAGTAACTTGTACCAACCACAAAAGGTCATAGTCGTTGCATTGTTTGCTGACAAGTTTTCACCGATTCTCTTCACTGGAGACAATATTACTCAATAAGATAACTCTTTGAATACCCTCAGGAAACTGACTGCCAGATCTCACACATTGATGAGACTCGTTCATCCTCAAGGGGCAATATTTATTCAATACTAGTGGATTAAATCTTCATTACATTTCTGACACCTTACAAAACAACTAATTTGATATGTTGGAATTAGGTTTTGGTTTTTGAGCTGGGTCTACTGTACAATATCAGATTTTTGTTTTTCGGACACAACACAGAAAATGTTTGATTAGAGATATATTTGATCATATATTAACAAATTTTATATGGTCACATATATCTGATCTGATCAAGATATATGATCAGATCAGATATATCTGATCATGTAAAGTTTGTTATTCTAGGTCATAAAATGTATAGTAAACTGTTTTTGAGAAACGGCTTCTAAAATTTATGACCTAGGTTTTATCTCTGAGATTTAAAAGACAATTTTTAATCAGATTTTTTCTGAAGAAGCAAAGCATTTATATCCAACTTATCAAATTCTTCGTAGATACAATTTTAGTTCTATTCGCATAGTCTAAATTCTCTAAAAACTAGGAAGTTTTCTTTTTTTTCTGGATTCATAGTGAGGTTGCCCATCACTTTACTTTCCATCAATATTATTATAGTCAGTAGCTTGCAGTTAAATCACTATTTAAAAAAAACTCCACCTTAAAGCGTTCTTAACTATCTGTGGTGTTAATGCATGGATGAAAATTTCTATAAAAAAGATTTCAAATTCTTTTTGTTGAGTGTAAGATTTTATTAAGAAATACATTTATAATTGATTACAGACACAACATCTTTATTTGATGTAAAGTGGTTATCTATAGGCGCTGGTACTTGTTTGTGCAATCCAGTGTGTATGAAGGGCCCGATTTGAAGCGATGATAAAAGACTGGGATTAATGCATGACAGGAACTCTTGAATAGTCAATTTATTGATGACTCAAATCTTGCGCCGCGGCATACATTTAAGATGCGTTTGGTGAATAATCACAAATGTTGGCTTATTGTTGTTGTCGTGTTGCTTTACATTTATGCCTAAAATATGTATAAATGTACATCATTCTGTACATAAATAACAGATGTTGACTAATTTAGGATAATGCCTACTGTATTAATCAAATGGTTGATTGATTGATAGTTTAAATACAGTTTTGAACACCCTTTTCATCATAGTAGTTGGCCAAAAGCCATACTCCAAAATATTTTAATGCTCTTGTGTCCAGATTAATTTTTGTGTGGGAAATTTCTGCCAAGTTTATTAGGATCGTAATATAAATCATCTTTGGGATTAGGTACAGTATAAAGAGTGATCAGTTAAATGGGGATGAGAATTAAGGAGGTTATTTTATTTATTGATGTAACTTTTTTTAATTTTAATCATAAATCATATAATTCATAAAGTTAATTAATTTTATTGAATTGAATCAATTTTTAAAAATATTAATTAATTTTGTTTAGCTTAAAAAGTGAATTCAGTTCTAGCATTAGGCGCAACAGGTGTGTGTACTATCAGACTCAAGGCTACGGAAGGGGGAGGAATTTGCATGTCCCGTGTGGAAAAACACCTTCTCTATTGTTTGCCATATCTAACTAGGCGTATAAATGGGTGCCTGGCACAGTAGGATGTGTGTAATTTTGGAGAGAATTAGACTGGAGATGAGTTTGTTATGCACAGCTAGAAAAATCCCCAGGGAGAGGAGGAGATGGCACATTGCGCATGACTATTTATGTATCTAAAAATGATGTATCCATCCAAAAACTAGTTCGTACTACTTTTGTACAACGTGATTAATGTAATCGAGAAATAAAAATATACCGTAATATAAAGTGTTTTTATTAAATTATTTAGTTCGAAGATTGCCACACTTTTGCCAATAACAAACTTAAAAGTTATTTATTGCTTTTCTTTTTTTTAAGTGGTAAAAAAAAATAAATAGGCCTAAATGTTATTTTATGTTGTGCATTAAATGCCTCCCATGAACTAAATCTCTTAATAAGGTGTAGAGATCATCCATTTTTTTCACCATTTACACGAGAGTACAAAACATACTCTTTTTTTGTGATGTCCTTTTTCCTGAAGTAAAGAAATGATGATGGTTGTCATTTCCAGATCATCATTTTATATATTTTCTTAAAAGAGTACTTACACACTCTCCTCTCCCTCTACATGCCGGGATGTTAAGGGCAAGAACTGGATCGTTACTCATCAACGCCCCTAAAAGGAGCGAAGTGAGGAAGGAAGACCAGTGTCTTAACCACCAAGTATATAGCTCCACCTCTTTAACTAGAATTCAGTCTTCAAGAGATTTCATTGCTATCTCACTATTTCTTTTATAACCAAACGCCATCTATTTTTTTCTGCTTATACTGTGTTTATTTCAGAATTTCTTCTTTTTCCTTTATTGGTCCTTATATGAGCCCCTTTCCATTCATACTGCAACAGAAAGCAAAACGTGATCACTGATTCTTAGGCGTTGTGGGATGCATGCCATTGAGGCTTGGCACAGCGCCTGTTACTGTACAACTCTTTTGGTGGTGACTCCTGTGGATTGTTGTACCAAAGTATTGAGCATTAGTTGAAGGACAATGATAAAAAAATTAAGTCCTCCACTATAGAGTAATTTCTTTGTTTTTTATTTTTCTCTGACTAAGAATTTTTATTTTTTGGATGATGTTGACATTACTTGTTATTGAATTATATGGTAGGAAAGCCCATTATGGAATAGAGGTTAGCTGGCATTAGAAAAGACAACAAGAGAACTATATGCGTCACATTCTGCATGTAGTAGGATAAATCACCAAACACAAAATTGTCTTTATGAATATTTACACGTTAATTTTTTTTTTTATCGAGAAGTGCTGGCTACAAAATACCGTACACCAAAAATTGGGGCAAAAGTGGGGAGGACGGTTTGTTTATACACTACTCAGACAATAATTTTTGCATGAAATGTTGAACAAAAATCATCTGATTTAAGTTTTTTTAACATGCAAAATTATAAATGTTGGTGATGCTATAATGACATTATATTGCTGATGATTGTTTTGCTTATGCTGGGTCATGTTTCAGTCCCTTTTGATACATAAGCTCTTGAACAGAGTGGTCGGATGTGTGTTGTTAATGACTTTGGTAGCCCTGTAGCAGTCGGTAAAATCTAGGCCAAATATGGCTTCATGACATCTTCAGTGCAAACTTGAGGTTAGGTGTTTTTTTCAAAGGGAAATATCTTACCTAGGAAAATTCAACACATTACTTGTCATCTGAATTGTCCAGTTGCATTCAATTTGTTGAAATTATACCCTGGGCTTTACTTGGACAACGGAAACTTCTAAAATCAAGCCGAAACTAGTTCTGGGTACCATAATTTTATGATTTTATTCAATCAGTCAGTAATAATTTTGTCTGAATACAAATAATATAAGGATAGCAGACTGTTAATGGGAGATATCAGGATAATCCTCAAAGTTTCTATGGAATTAAATTCTAGAGGGGTCAAATTTATTTACAATTTTAACATTGTTCCATATCAGAGAAAAGTTTGAGTTTCTGTTAGGTTTAATGTGTTTGTACATTTGTGGCAAAGACAAGCTAAACCAGTCACTCGCCGCAAATCCTGTTTTGGAGATAATGGCCAAAATATGCTGGAATTTCAAAATTTTGGAAATCTATTTTATTGCACTAAACTAACCTTTATATATCTATACACATCATGCTTATGCTGTTATTTTCCCCATTTTCAATGTTAAAACAACAATTTTTAACGATTTGGTGATGGTTTCTGCCTAAGAAATGCCTGAAATCGTAAACTTTGAAGGCTGATTTCTCAAATATTGTTCTTTCAACAGCTGTATGTTTAAAACTTGTGTAACTTCATAACGAAGTGTCAGATTTAAATGATTCTTTTACCATTTTATAGCTCTCATTTTACTGTTAAACCCTGTATTAATAACTAAAGATTGATTTTTCCGACGAGTGACTGGTTTGGCTTGTCTTTGCCACATTTATAAATTGGAACAAATCAGTTCTGATTCAGTAGGCATAAGAGCCACATTACAACCATTTGTGTTTAAGTGGTTGTTATGGAATTTATGTTGTCAATTTAGTACCTGGAAAGCAGTTATTTAATGAATTTCATTATTTGTTTTTGTTTGTTTTTTTTTCTTCAAAATTTTTATTTAAAAAGGGTAATTCTCTAAATATGGTAGTTTGTCTTTGAAACTCTTGATTCTAAAAAGGGTGCTGGGCATTAAAACAGAAGGTGTCAGTGACAGGCATATTTCATATAAAGCAGTAGATAGCCCCTGTGGAAGTGAGTTTATGCTGTCTCTTATACACATCTAGATGTGTATAAGAGACAGTTACACGAGATAGTATTAGTATTTTTTGCTCTGTCTACAAACACATTTGGTATGCTAATACGGTATGTAACAACCAGGATCTTTAAAAAATGCTCTGATCATATTATATTTCTAAAGCAAGTTATAACATCAATTTATCAGAATATGACACAATGTATAGTCATGAAGACAGGATGCAGGGAAGCGTTTAGAACAATGATATAAGCAAATAGGATCGTATGTTCGACTCTGTTTTATATTGTTTGTTTTTGAACAGGAAATTTCCAGTTTTTGTGTCTCTTCATTCATGAATGTACTGTACATAAAGAATACCTTATAAGTTATAGGAAGTGAATAATTTTACTGTAAAAGTATGCCTAGGGTGAATTTTCTTTTTTACTACAAATACCTTTCCAAAGATAGGAGTAGGAGTTTCCACATCCACATAGTGTGGCATACCTAGGGATATTGAAATTGGGGACTGATGGGGGAAGGGACATGAAAGTGAAGTGGGGCTTGATGATAAAGTGAAGGGTTGCTAGCTGGCAAAAAATGGTGGTATGAAGTGATTTTTAATTACTGAAGTGTAATTTTTTCCTTTTTTGAAAATCAGGGGAAAAGGGGTGCAAAGTTTATATGGGGGGAGGTGAACCCCCGAAATATACTATGGTGTGTATTTTTCTAATTAGTGGCACTGTAGGTTGATCGTTAATACACTCGCCTTCTAATCCCAGGTTCCTAATGTCCTATCAAGTCAGGGTTTTTTGATCATGACCTTAGAAAAAACTCCGCATCTGAAGCCTCATAATAACTTAGAAGCAGAGGTGGCGCTAGAAATTTGTCGTCAAGGAGTCCGACACGTCCAAAGGAGGTGTCCAATCCAGGGGGCCGACTAGGGCCTCGGTTGATGGCCAGGAATAAAAAATCACTCGTAAGGTTCACAAGGAAAATTATTATGGCTTATTATGGTCCAAATTGTGTTTTTAGACCACAATATTAGGGATTAGCAATCAAAATAACATTATTTGATAAGCAGATTATTACTTTTTTAATTTGTGATACGACGACCTAGTCATGGCGTCAGACGACAGTGGGGTCCAGGGCTTTGCTGCATAGACATAAGTTTGCAAAGCATCTTATGTTTGCTTAGGTGTAATCGTGTAAAACTCATTTAAATCAATGTATTCATCCATTTATTTATCAATGGTATTTATTCTATTGAATGTCAAGTAAAATACTTTGGCCAGTGGTAATGGATCTTACACCTTAGAATCTATAGTATTGTACTACAATTTATGAATAGATGATGCTTCATAAACTCCAGATAAGGATCATTTATACTAATGACACATTCTTTTTAAATTATATACAATCATCAAGCAGATGAAACTTTAGAGAATATAATTAAAGTTGAGTAGCATACTCATGACTTTGTTATATTTTTTCGCTGTTGAGCCAGTTATCTAGTTAATTTTGCAATTATGGAAATGATAAAAGCTATTAAACAAATTAAACTGGACAGTCCTTCATTTCATAGATTCATTCTAAGTCTCATCAAACAAACAAGTAATGTAAAACTGTAAAGAAATGTAACATTTCCCTACAATTTGTGCCACTTTATGATCATTGAGCAAACAACAAACATGAATAAAAAGGGGGAAAACATAATTAAAAGTTAAAAAATAGGAAGGGAGGACCATCTTTACAGTTAGATCATTCATTTGGTTTACATTTACTGAAATCTTTAAGGATATATGGTGATATTTATTCATTCAGTGTAGAGACTGACTGCTCTCATTATAAAGCTAGAAATGTATGTAATAGATATTTATTAGAAATACAAAATACAGAATTCAGAAACATTATATATATATATAAGCTCAAAATACACATCACTTTCAAAAAACACTACACATGTAAAAATACAACCTAAAAGAACAAAACAAGTATTAAAATACTCTAGTAATGTTGTATAGTATGTATTTACAAAATTTTTATTTTATTTATTTATTTATTTTATTTATTTATTCAATCGTCCAACAGGACCAAGAAGGTCCCACTTACAGGCGAAGATTGTAGTAAAATATTTCTATGTACAATATAAAAATATAAAATATTTAAAATTCATCAAATTATTAAAACATTGTAGAGTTAAATATTACATCGATTAAACACATAAAAATTACGTATGATAATTATTTAAATGACATTTAAATACATATAAAGAATTAGAAAATTAATGAATTGCATTAAATTGTGTGTATGAACCACTTTTTAATAAAGGATGTTATCTGATATTATATTTTATTTGATAAACCTAGAAATGTATGTAATAGATATCCAGAAAAATTATATGCAAGCTCAAAATACACATCACTTTAAAAATACACTACATATGTAAAAATACAACCTAAAAAACAAAAAAGTATTAAAATACTGTAATATTGTTGTATAGTAAGTATTTACAAAATTTTAAAAATTGCATTAAAATATTTTATGTGTATGAACCACTTTTCAATAAAGGGTGTTATCTGATATATTTTATTTGATAAGATTATATATTTGATACGATGTGATACATATTGTGAATCGATTATTAATCAAATCAAACAAATTTAACTGAACACCTGTGTGGAACCTGATATGATCTATTATTTCCTCTGAACCTGTTTGTCCTGACCTTTGGGTGGAGTAATTTACCCAAAAATATTCAGGTAGTAATAGCATTATGGACTGAGTGGGAAGCATCAGTTATTATGCATTTTGATTTATTAGACATCATCTCATTATGTGTAGGTACACTAAAGGTATTCTGATATCTTAATGTCAGTGCCTATAATCTTACTCACTTTGTCAATGGCCTTATTAAGTTTCTTCTTTATTATGTTACAGAGTGTTATAGCAGATTGTTTGACAATCAAGTTGTCTGATATGTCATATTTTCTATACAGTAATATCAATCAATAATAATAATTTTTAAATCATTGAAGAATTTCATCTGGTTCTGTATAAATTATAGCTGGATTGTTTCTTTTTTTCATTTAATTAGAACCACAGAGATAATAATAATAATAAATATTATCTCAGTGACGTTTCTGGTCCAATCAGGTACCTTTCCTCAGAGTGATTACATGTTGGGATTGGTCTTATATATTCCAATAATGTATATTCTAATAATATAATAATTCTGATAACAATGTGTTTTTTTTTTTTTTGTTATACAGAATGTATGAGTTGCTTTAAATATTTGTTTTTCCTCTAATCCTAATTGACTTTTTGTTTTTGGTTACTTTGAACAGCAATGAAGGCAGATAGAAAACGTTTAAAAGTTGAGAAAGTCGACCTACTGAAACAAATGAAGCAGCTATATCGTACATTAGAAGCCAATGAGGGCAGTGTTCGTAGTTACATTCATAAGTTTGAGGAGCAAATCATGGAAAAAGACAGCGAACTGCAACGGATGCAGGAGGAAAAAGAAGAGATGGATAAAGACAAATGGGAGCTACTTCAGCGAGCGAAAGAAGCGGCAGAAAGAGCGATGGGACTGCGGAATAGCAATGAGGAAAAGGATCGAAAAATAGCCACATTAAAGCACGTCTTAGATCAGGTATTTTTGTTTTGGAAATTTTTTTTAAATGCATAATATTTTTGCATTATTTTTTTTCTTTGAAAATATTTTCAGCAAAATATATATTTAAAATTTAAAATTTAATTTCAGTTGAGAAGAGAATTAAGTGAGGTCACACATCGACCCGTAGAAACAACTTTTCCTATTCATATTACAACTAGTACGCCATATGACACGCCTTGTGACACACCCCTATCTACACCCTCGGGGAAAGGCTCTCAGGATGGTGATACAGATAACGACACAACATCCCTGATTCCAAGTGAGAACAGCTCACCGCCAATGTCAAGGAGTCAACGCTCGCAGACACAGTCGATGATAGCAGGTAAAGCCAGTCACAACACGCCATTCCATTGTAGGACACATGATCTGACTCACGACTTCCTATACCAACAACATTAGATAATGTCTCAAGTGACTTATTTAAGCCTTCGACTAAAGCACTGAACGAGTCACTAATATTTCTTGATCCGTAGATTGACACCATCCCATCCTTTGTGTTTTCAAATCCAAATGTGAAATGATGCAGAAGTGCATTGTAAACATTAATACATATGGGTTCAATTATCAAAGAACTCCATTGAATACCATCTAGAAAACAAACATTTGCCAAAAATTTTCTCAAACGTACCTAACTAAAGTACTTAAACAAACACTCACTCAATCATCATAAAGAGCAATTAACAGTGTTTTTTTTATTTCACATTTCTCATCTGTGTACTTTTTAAAATTGCTGTAATGCTTAAACATCTAATCAGTTGCCCCATCCAAATTTACATTTACATTTCTCATTTGATTTCAAGACATCACTCATCTGTTAACAGCTTTTATTTATCAATTTAGATACAAAACTGTTTTGTTATGTTGTTTTTTTTTGTGTGTACTGTATTTGTATATTTGAGTGGCATGGCAGTAGAACTTGTATCGGCTGTTAAGTTGGCAAAAGGAGTAGAACAAGATGTTGTTAATTTGGGAATGGGCGTGAAATTGATGTTGTCAAATACAACTTCCTTCCCGAGGGAACCTTCCCTGTAATCAGAGATGCCTGACTTGATTCTTTTCATCTTCATGTTTTCGGATTTAATAGAATTAATTATAAAGTGTATTGGTTGCCATGTTATTTTCAATATACACCTAATAACAAGACAGCACCTATCAGATTAGCAAATTTAATTTGTATTAAATTTGTATATTCTTTTAAGTCAATACCGGTATTTGTCGCAGAGGGTTGATTTTACAAGGCATTACATCAGAAACAAGGTCCTTTGTTAAGTAACGCATTCACAGTCTTGCCTACATAAAACAATTGAAAATTATATTTACATGAAAGATAGTATTAAGAAAATAATATTTTGGTAATATTAAAATAAATAAGATATATTTTGGGTGGTGCTTTATTTATACCAAGATAATTCATTCACACAATAAACTTCTTCAGGTAACCATGATTATTATTTTTAGTTTTAGTTTTCATCAATTCAGATAAATTTGATGTTAATACAAAACATTGATAAGTGGTGTTTCATATAAACAATTTGAACAATTACAGAATACTGTGCTAGCAGATGTTTAGTATCAATTTTATTTTCAAATTTTCAAATAACATTATATAAAATATTGCTGATGTTAAAATTACATAGCAACCAACCACAATCTTTTAATACAAACTAAATTATTTAAGTTCACCTTATTTAACTTCATATCTACATTGTAGAAAAAGATAATTATGTAGTAATCAGAATTCAGTATAGTTTTTCATCTTAGGTATAGCTCTATAGTCTCAACATAGGATGTGTGGTTTGTAGAAGTGTTTGCTATCTGCTTAAAATTTACAAATTTTTAAAAATCTTCTCAACAAAAAAATCAATCAACTGTTGCTTTACAGAGAAAAAAAGTAAATCATCACGCAATAATCTGTTTAAAAAACGAAGACAAAGAAGTGGTAAAGTTTGATTGTTTTTAGATTGTAAAAAAAGTAAAGACGAAAAACAATAAATTTATGACATGATTTACAATACTAACTAAAAATTATGAATCGTTTATAGGGTCAATAACTTAGGCACCACATGTAATGAATAACGTATCATTGCAACGATGAAATCGTTGATGCGTTTAACAAATGATTTCCGTATGTAAGTGGAAAAACTCCCTCTGGTTATGTTTGTCACAAAAATTTATAAATTTTTGACAAAAACGTAGATTTGATGGGATATGTTGTCAGGCTGGCCTACTACTGTGTCATATGTAACAGAAAGGGCCCAAATGAAGGTTTTCCCTTATTCTCCTAAAAATCTTATCAATTTCACGATTTTTCCCTGTTAAGAAAATGTATCCAACTATATAATACTTAGTGTTAAATTTATTTTTGTATGATTCCTTTCCCCGTAACCCCCCGTGCCAATTTCACGCCCTTTCCCTTCCAATGCCTTGCATTTTGTGTGATGGAACATACTTTTTTTCAGCGGTGAAAGGCCAAATGGAGAAGATGTCGAAAAGTTTTAGTTGTGAGTAGAGAAGCTCTTCGTAGCTTCCGCCGTGCATCTAGCGAGCATGCTATCCATTAACTTCTACGGGACTAGTTTGTCCCCCTCTCTATCATCAACTTGTTTGTCTCACTTTTTCATCAACTTGTATGTCTCCCTCTATCAACAACTTGTGTTTCACTTTGTGTCTATGTACTGTAGTATCTGTTCAACCACAACATGCTAACAACTTAAAGCCGCAAACACACCTGACTTCTTTTGGTAAGAATTACCGACCGGCTAGTAGGTTTACCATAAAAACTCCAGTGCAAATAGCTCAGTAACTTTCCCTGAATACTTACCGAGCCGCACGGTGAGTTTCACCAAGTCCAGGTTGCCCAGTAGAAACTTACCAAGATAGTTTCACCAAGCCAAAAATTTCTCGTACGAACATGGCGACTCTGTGAGCTTCCTGAATACCTTCACTGGAATAACCTTTATCGGTCTGCTGAAAATCATGCATGCGTATAACATGAGGTCAGTTATTTCCCTCTTCGGATCTCGTCATCTTTGTGTGTCAAAGCATTCACGAAGCAGAAGTAAAAGTCACGATGTAGCAACCTCCTTATTTGCTTTTCACGGTCTAACCGTGACTGTGGTAAAACTTACCGATTTAAAAAAGTCCAACTGCGGACAGTGATAAGATTTCCCTCCCGTGGTCTCGGTAAGATTTTTACCAAAATAAGTCCAGTGCGAATAAGGCTTAAGTCATTTTACATATATAGTAACTCATATTGAAACACATGGAAAATAAGGACAAATTGATGCTGTTGTTGTTTGGCTCAGATATATTTTATAAATTATATGATACAAAAGGGACTAAATTAGTATTTTCTGTACAGCTTTGGTTATAATATGCTTTAGTTTGGGGACAGCCATTTATTTTTTAAAGATTTTTTTACATTTTTTATTAACTGCACAAAAACTGAACATTTACAGAATGTTTTCATTTGTTATACATTTGTAAACATTGGAATCAAAAAATAATCCTTATACATTGGACATACTTTGAATTTGGGATAGAAAAATAATGAATATAAATGAGATATGAATAATCTAAGATAAGTAAAGTAGTTTCTAATTTCGTCTTTTGAAATGTCGGTAAATGCATTTTAACATAAAATAAATTAAGTGTATTAAAATAACTTCAATGTTTGTGCACAGTTATTAGTGCTCATAAATAAACGCTGCATGATTAGTGTACATCACATCCATCAGAAAGTCTTTCTACTTTGATAAGGCAAACCATGGAAATTACATTTCATAGTTATTATTATATCACATCCATCTAAATGCTTTTCATTGGGATTTCATACACTGTCATTTAGTTTATTAGTTGTAATACATAATGGATTTATGCATGAATACAAACATGTTGTGAAAACTTGTATCATTAAAATATATATGAATATTTATCATTTCCTCATTAAGGATCATTCAGGATAGTACATAGAAATGATGAATACCTTATCTACATTCATATTGCTATTTATACATAGAAATAATTACAGGAGAAAGTATGAATATTTGTGATGCTATTGTAGAGTTTAGTATTATGAAAGTTTAAATTAATTTAGTTAATTTTTAAGGAAATGTAATTCATTATACTATAACATAAAACACACTGCAGTTTACCCTGTTTTAATCCTTATTCATATTAATGTTATTAATATTTAGTACATTTAGAAAAGAAACAATTGTTAATAATACCCAATTTTCTACACTTCCATAGTATTTAAGAATTAATTATATGTTATTAATACTTAACTCATGAATAGTACTTTTAAAATAATTTTCTTCTTCCGTTCTTCCTCTTGTTATTTTGATCTCCCCTTCATTTTCCCCTTCTCCTTACTTCCCGCTTCGGCTGCTTACGCTTAATTAATTATGTGTGTTTAATAATTAGTTACCAGCTTTCAACTTCTTAATAATTATGATATTTTATCAAATCAGTGATATAATAACACATAGAAGCTAATGATAGTAGTGTACAGATATCTAACCACTGTAAACACATTAACTACCTGTAAATACCTTTAACCAACTGTAAGTACCTTTAACCACCTGTATGTAAATAATTGCATGAATAGATATGCATACAGGTGTACATGTCAACTGATAATTTGTAGATAAATATTTTATTTAATTTTTTTTTTCATCAGGCCAATTGTCATAATTCTGTCTGTAATAAATAGATAAAAAGTGCTTTCTAAATCAAATCACTTAAAAGTAAGGTAAAAAAAATCCAGTAATGTGAATTATTTCACGATTGATTATATATCTTTGTTTCATTAAAAAAATTTATTCAAAAACTTAATCATAAAAATGATTGTAGAAAACTTAACAATTAGGCATATATTTATATGACTCAATTTAAAATTTGACCAAAGTAGTGGATGGTTAAACACCTTTGATCAACTCATTCATAAAATGCAGATAACAGCCAAGTTTCTATCAACGGTCATAATCATTTTAAACAGATTTTGGTCACGCAACGTAGAATGTACCAATTCTACCATGAGGGAGGGGTCACAAAATTTGAGCTTGTATGTAGCCTAGTGGGTTCTGCCCACATGATTAATAATGAGCTTTCTAGTTTAAATAATTGGAATTAATCCTTTATTTTGGGCCGATAGTCTGTTCCTGACTGTTTCTATAATATTCATTGCTCTTTTTTCATAATGTTTGTCATTGACTCCACAATAAAAATGAAGATTTCTTTTATATTGATACAGACTTGACTATTGATTCTTATCACTAAGAAGTGAAAGTCACGATCATTGGCAGAAAGATCTACAAATCAATCAATCAGACAATTAATTATAATCTGATGCTGTAGTACATGATAGCGACCACACATCTGACTCACGAATTAAAATGCCTTGGAATAGTCAATCTCCGTAGCTGACCTGTTGCCAGATGAATTGTGATCTGAAATAAGACAAAACGAGAAATTGTATGATTCAGCAACGAAGCCTTGACTTTTATTGCTTAATATATATCCAAATATTGATCATCTGCCCCCTTACACGTTATAACCTATATTAGCGTGGATAGTGTAGTAGAGATTGTTAGATAGTACTAGAAGCATCAAAATGGTTATAGTTACTGATGTATAGAACTATAGATCTTGGTGCACCTGGATAGAGCAAAGCTCATGCTAATGAGGTTCCTTATGCTTTATAACTGATATTAGCTTTTTGGGAAATACGGTAGTAGAGAGCAATATAATTTACTAATGCTTACTTCTTAGTCAGTGGTGGCTGAGAAATTTGAGGACAAGCGGCCCAACCAGTTCAACATGAAATCTAAATCATGGGGTAGGCAGGAGCCTCAGTCAGAGTCCTAGAATATAATCCCTGGTGGGAGCTCATGGGGAGAGATTTAGAATGGCCTAAGATTGTGGAACATTATTATGAATTATATCATCAACATTATGATCGTCCTCATCATCATAATTATCTTCACCAACTTTGTCATGCTGGTGGTCGTTGTTGTCAGTGGCGGCGCCAGTGGTGGCAGGGAGGTTAAGGTCAAGCCCCCCACCGGCCAGAACCTGTCGGGCATTCGGACCAAAAATATATAAAAATATAGGCCTACGTTCAAGCCAAAACATGTTTCATAGTCTGAGATTGCCATTTTTGGCCACCCAGATGTATCTATTTCAAAAATAAATTTCATTATGTAGGGGGGAGGGGGTTACACACTCCCAATTAATTAAACTGTAATCTCTACAGCAAAGTCAGAAATGTTCATGATAATCATAGTTGTTTATTCATTATTGATATTTTATTCAATTTGTTACTTTCATTGATTCTGATTGGTTGAATAATTTCTTTAGATGTTGATTGGCCAATTATGGTTCATCTTTCAATCACTACTTTTTACTTAGTCTCCTTCATTGTTGTTTTTACTAGAATTTTAACTTATTACCCTTGATTACTAATGGTTCGCTAGATGCATGGTGATAAAAACAGAAACATGCCATACTCAGCCTTCGTATCAGCATCCACTATGAGGGCATGCTAGCTTTGGAGGTTGCGTAATTTAATCTAAGGAAAGAAAAATAAAGTATTGTAATGATTAAGCTTATTCGAATACTTAATAGCAAAATATACAAGGTCTTCCATTAGGTACAAATATAGTATGTAAATAAATATATAGACTTTTTATTCCTCATCTGTCATCCTAAATATAGAATATGCAAATGTATTTATTCATGACTTGGAAAAATGGAGTGAGATGATTAAGATATTGAACTGAAATACATGTAAAAAAGAATCACCTATATGACCTCTCTTCACCTTTTTGTAGAGTTTTCTGGGTCAATTACTATTGTCACAAATCAAATTTATTTTCCTTTCATAGTTAAACATTGCATATTTAACTTGACTTTAAAAAAAAATATTGTTAACAAATAATAAATTTTAAGTTCTACTTTAATGATCAAGTATGTTAAATGAGATGCCCTCTTTACATGGTCTTTTTAAAACTGCATTTTAATTGTTATATTTTGGTGATTGATTTAACAACCGATAAATTTACAGTTATTCCAAAATTCGCTATAAAAATAGTGAAATATTATATATCAGATTAATACAAGATTAATTAATCAGTTACATCTGAAGATTTCTTTATGTAACCTCCAGAAATTATAAATTTAAAATATTACTTTAACACGTTTGCTGCCAGGGACGTCAGTTCACATCTGACAAGGTTCACTTAGGGTGCCAAGGACGTCCCCACCTGTCCAACATACAATTATTGTATTGCACATAAACTCACTGACACTGGCCCTGAGAATACAAACTCTCACCCTGGAGGTTGAGGGAAAGACCTGGAAGTAATTATCTAAAAATAAATGGTGGCGCCTTTTATGCCTTGACATAATGGATGGAGCTAGGAAAAAAGGCTTAGCAGTCAACGTGTTAAAACCTGTACATTGAATGTATACTATAAATAATATCTTATAATTTTACTAAATAATAGAATGTTCCATTAATATAGATGGAAGTTTATGACTGAGATTTTTCTAGTAATTGGGAAATGCACTAATTTCAGAGCTTCATGGTTTGCTTGAAACAGGGATTTTTCTAGTGAAATATTAGTTAACACCCGGCTTATATGAATATTCGCTTGATGACTTTGATTTATTTGCCATGTATATCCTTCTGCTGGGTAGTTAAGCTGGTGCATGCACATTATTTACTCATCAATACGCAAAAGTATAAATGACAGTTGACACCCAATGGTCAGGCTTGGTATTGGGGTTAAATTTTGATTTGATGATTAGTTAAAACTCAAGAATTGAGAATAGAATTGAGGCAAGGAAAACAATGCTTTACCAAAGTAAACCTTAAAGTGTATTATTTATGTAACTTTATTGTTTATATTGCAATCCATTATATCTTTTGTATAATTTATTGTGATTAGTAATTAGTGGTTTAAATTCAATGCAATATATTTCTGTTGGGTGGTATGCCAGAACTTTCAGAGGTTTAAATATAGATTCTATCCTTCATTGCTCTCTTTTTGAAGATTTTAAAGTACAATGAATCAAAATAGTATATTGCTTGTCCGTTCATAGTTTTGTTGTAGAAGACAATTGAAAGTATTGGATTTAAGAAGGTAATTGGTAAATTGATAGGAAGTCATCCTCTTGAAATTAGAAAAAAATTGAAAGAAAATATCCATAAATGACATTTATTGAAATATAGACCAGATATGTCCAATTTAAATTGACCTCTAATGTCAGCCGCCATTAACCCTTTGAATTCTGGCCTTCACGGTAACATCCCGACTGGTACCTCTGTAGAGACAGTTATGACTAGCGTGACAAGCGATTGTTATAAGTCTTCATAGGAAGTTTTAAGACTAGGCCCAAGGGATCATGAAAAAGAGAACACTCAGTCCACTGTCTCTCCTGAGACTGATTAAAATAATGCTGCTTGATCTTCTAAACAGTTGGGCCTAGCTGTCTATAGGCCTCTCCACACATGTTATCAGTTGTTGATGCAGGGCTCTGTCAGTTTCTGGGACTATCTTCCCCAGGAGATCTTCCCCTGGAGTAATCGTTGTTTGATGAAGTTGGAATGTAAGCGCCAGGCCTAGATTTCAAGCAAAAACATAACTGGAATAATTCACTAGAAATCAAGGGCACTTTAACTAGATAATATCCAGTTGTTTGATAATAGGTATGATAAGGGAAACTAGGGTATGGAAAAAAAATAAATATAAATTTTAATATTTTTGACAGTATTTTAGTTATTCAGGATTAAAATAGTGAATTAAAATGCAGAACTAATAAATCTTAAGCATATGCCATCTAATCTGTTAACGGGCATACAAACAATTATAGTAGTGGTATTGTTGCTGTTGTACTTATGAGCATAATAGTGAAAAATAAATAAATAAGAAAATAAATTAATATTTTTATTTTATCTGAATTGTATTTTCAATTTGAAATATATAGGTTTTCAAAATGGTTTGGAAAATACAATAAATTAAAATAGTATATAAAATTAATTGATTGAGATTTATTTTCCAAATAATATTAAATGAATATGTATTTTCTTATAGTGGCAAATCTGTAGACATGGAGTTTAAAAAAGTGAGAAATACATGTTCAAGTGATATAAAGAATTCATTGGATAAAAAGTTTCTCACATATATCTATGCAAAATTAATGAGCTTGGTATAATCTTGACATTTAGTTTAGAATTCAATTTTTTTTTCATCCTTGCTCGTATATTTAGCTGGCTTGGTATCTCCTACTAGAGGAAAAAAGTGAGAAAATTTGGGAAATTTTAAATGTCTTTATCATTAACAAATGCCTTGTCTGCTAGATTTTCGTCGTCTGCTAATATTCAGTATTTGCTGATCTTCTTTCTCGTAGATTCACAAGAGGATGATGAGAGTCGCATACTCCTTATATCCTCGGACCATATATCAGTTTCGTCAGAAGAGCTGTCAACGAACAGAACAGTATTTGATAACCACAAGAAGAAAAAGAAATCGGGAAAATTCAGCTCTCTTTCGAAGGTGTTTGGAAAGAAGAACAAATCAACTTTAGAGCATTTGTCATTTGATGGTAAAGAGATTTTTATAACTCTTGTCTCAAGTTTGTCTATAATTACCTTGATAACCTATTTTTGCCATTCTTCCTGTAATTAGAATATCCCTAAAAGTAAAAGAATTGTCTAGCCTATGCTAACTAAATGTGTACATACTCATTCCTTTTCTTTCAACTCAATTTAACATAAACTTTAAACTGTGTTGACGATACCTACATAGGAAAGATGAAGAAACTGCCCTTCATCTAGTGGGGTATCTAGGAGGCTTGAAATGGGGGAGGGGATTCTGATGGCGGTGTCAAGTGGTGGGCCTCGATGATTAAGTGTGGGGAGTTAGCTTGCGAAATAATGTGATGTGAGTGGATTTTTAACTACTTGAGTGTGATTCCTTGCTTCTAACATTTTCAGTGGGGGTGAAGTAGATGGATTTGGGGGTGGGGGAGGGGAAGGCCGGCACAAAAACTAAGTGTATTTCTCAATAATCCTGAACCATAATTCTCTTTTGTTTACTACAAATTCTTATCTAATATTTTGTTAGAATATTGAGTCCAAATCAAAGTATTTTTCCATCAGATTCTGTGATATCCATAAACAGTTTAAGCGTTTCATCGAAACATAGTAGTATGGTAGAGATTGGCCTCGATGAGCAAGAGAAGCTGCGATTGGCTGAATTATGCAAAGTTCAACCCATGCACCAGTGGAGAGCCAATACAGTGCTTGCATGGTTGGAGCTTGCCATGTGCTTGCCACAGTATACCCTGAAATGTGCTGAGAATGTCAAAAGTGGAAAAGTATGTTGTTTATAATACTATTTTTTATTGAATTTTCTTCATAGTTATGTAATTTTTCTATTTATTATAGAAATGATAGCGTATCTCAGTCTAAAGCCAGGCACTCGCTAAGCGCTACGGTAATTGGCCGACGCGAATCTGTTGAGAATGCAATGCCACTTACACGCTTAACGGACCATTTTATAATGATGATCCTTTCAGACTGCCACCGGCATTTAGCAGGTGGCATCGTGTAGCACTCATAGGAAGCAAAATTGGATTCGGTGCAGTGGGTCCTGGCTTTAAACTCTTGTTTATTGTATGGTACCAATTTATTTAAAAACTTTAAAAAGTCCGTTGCAATTTATTTCTGATTGATAGATTGTGTTTACTGTATAGATACAGTTAAAATTTATTTTAATAAACTACAAACAACTTCAGAAACAAGGATGAACAATAAAGACAAAAATTTCCAAATTTATTTCTGATTGATAGATTGTGTTTACTGTATAGATACAGTTAAAATTTATTTTAATAAACTACAAACAACTTCAGAAACAAGGATGAACAATAAAGACAAAAATTTCCAAATTTCCAGTTTAAAAGTAAATGTATCCTGCAAGAATTGAACCTTTGATCTCTAGCTATCAATGTGAGTCTCATACCACTAGACCAGTCATTCCAAGTTTTAAGTGATGGAATATATTAACTAACTGTTTTTGATAGTTAAATATATTATTTTCTTTTAATTAGAGATTATTTTTGGTAAATTACTCAATTATGTTGTTTAGTTGATTTGAATTTGTTGTTTTGAACACACTTTCATTAAAAGTGTGCCACTGTTACAAAAGTGTACATTTGAATAAATTATTATTATTAATTATATTATTATTATTATATGATGTGGGTAATAAGACTCACCACCTTCAACACTATTCCAAGTTTAGTATGAGCTTATACTAGAATATATAAGTAATTAGTAGCTGCAGGCTATGCCACAGAGACCAGAATTTCTGTCATGATTTTATATTTGAAATTGAATGGAATTATAGTTAATTAGTTTATAATGAATGATAATTGAGGAAAAAAAATAACATGATTTTATATAAAATTTTTACCTTATCATCCATCCGTCTGTCTAGAAACCCATTAAATGGGACTTCTTCGGCTTAATGATACAGTTAATTGCTTATATACCTAATATTATAACCTAATTTAAGTTTAAACTCCTGACTTAATAACCACTACTGTTTAGAAGTTCATAATGATTAACCAATGAAATTTAATTGTGGATTTTTGATAATTATAGTACAGTTGGTACAATTCTATGAACCAGCAAAATAAAGTGCCTCAGGCAATAGAGGGCAGTATTGATGTTTATCTTGATGTCTTAAATTTCATCATAGGTATTATTAGGCTTATCTGATGCCGAGTTGGAAGTGGGACTTGGTATTACAAATCCACTGCACAAACGGAAAGTTCGTCTAGCAGTTGAAGAAAGCAGAAACCCCACACAAGCGTAAGAATATTTCATAAATATAATAGAAACTTTGTTATATCTTTTCTATTTATAAGTACAGTATATTGTCCAATTGTTGATCCAATAAACCTTAAAAAAGAAACCTAATACTTTAATTTTTACTGAATATTCATATAAGTTATTACATTCTAATTCAAGATTAGAATGGAAAATTATATTGGTGCTATTATTGTTTGTCTATTTCTAGTGTTTTAGTAATTGTTGTTATTCATAACGAAATCACAGCCGAGTCTGAATTGCATGATGTTTACAATATAAAAATATAAAGTATAAGCACAAAACAGAAACATTTTAATTTTAAAAAGCAGTAAAATACATGAAAAATTGTAATCATCAAATGGAACATCATAAAAAGAGAAAAACAGAACATTAGATTTGCAAAAAAGTATATAAAAAAACAAATACAAGAATGCGAAAAAAAATTTACAAAAAAAAAAAACGAAATCCACCGTATAAAAATACATATAATATTTATTTAATTGATTATTGTTTTATTATTATTAAAAGTTCATACCCTAAGATTGGAGATCTGGACCATAGGTGGGTTTGTCGGACATGGTTAAACGACATCGGCCTGCCTCAGTACTCAGCAACATTTGAACAGGAAAAGATTGACGGGCGGGTACTAAACACGCTGACCAAGAAGGACCTGGAAAAGCACTTGAACATCACAGTACGCTTCCATCAAGTCAGCATCCTTTATGGTATTGAGGTTCTTAGGAAGGTGCAATTTGATAAGAAAGTAAGTACTGCGAGCATTTTTATTTAAGGGGAGGTGGGGTAGGAATGTGGGTCACTATGGCCAGTAATGCTTATGATGCCCTTATTCATAAAGAGGAGCAGCTTAGATCAGTCAGCTAACTTAGTGGCTAGGTAACCACTGTGTCTGCGTTGACCCGTTGAGGTTTTTGGTCCTCAGTTCTATTTTATACACTGCTTCCTTCGTGTTTAAGCTGGGAGGTTGTCCTGTGTGCAATATGGCTCATGTGCACATGAGAATGCAGTACACTCTCTGGAAAATAGTAGGGGATTGTCTCCCATTTTACGCAGCTAAACTAAGCAGCCTTACTATGACAATTATGACACCTATATGTACATGTATTATATGATGTCATTCCTCTTTCCAAAGATATTAACTGAGCGTCGTAACAGCTGCGAAGGTCTTGACGCCGACCCGTTAGTCTGGACAAACCAAAGATTCATCAAGTGGACAAAATCAATAGACTTAAAGGTGAAGTATTTTGGAGCATTTTAGGTGCAAGAAATAGGTGAAAGTGATAGTCTCCATATCAGAAGCGAGGAAGGAGTTTAAATAAGTTCATGCATTACTAGTGTTACTCCTTCAAGTATTACAGAGGTTGGTTGGTATGCTACATCTTAATGCCAGTATAATAATATGTCAATATGTCATAATAATAATATGTCATTCTATGATTTATTTTTGGATTTAAAATAACTGTAAATTAATACTCTAGCAAAGAATGGGGAGATTTGTTTGTTTTGTTTTTTTTCATGCTGCTATAAGCGACTCGGGTCACTCTACAGTATAAGTCATGTGACCCGAGTCGCCGATTCGGTCTATTGGTTAACTTGCTTAAAAAAGATTGTATATCTTATTTTAAATGTTATTGTGATTGTCATTATATGTGATTGTGAATTTGTGATTGTGGATAATTAATCTGGATAGCTCAAGTAGTATTAAATAATAGAAAATCTTGAAAATCTTGAATCTTGCTAATTGAAAAGACTGGTTCAATACTATTATTATTCATGAGTTAATTATTTTATATTAGTTACAATAGTAACAGTTATATAAAAATTAAGTATAGTTATAATATAATAATAGCAATAACAATACAACAATAATTTAATTATTCTTACAGGAATATGCTAATAATTTAATAGAGACCGGAGTCCATGGAGGTGTTGTCGTTATCGATACGTCATTTACCCCCGAACATTTAGGAACCTGCCTAGGAATATCTACTACCAAAAATATCCTCAGAAGACACCTTACATCAGAGATCAACTCATTAATCAGACCAGCAAGGTATGACAAACATCATCACTATATTATTATTTAAATTATTATTAATAATATTATATTATTATTGCTGGTAATAAGAAGTCACATTATGTGGATTATGGAGTGTAGTTGTTTTTTAGTCATGAAAATAAATTCTTTGAATTCAAGGGATTTGAACCCAGAACTGTGCTATTAGGAGGCAAGCACTTTACTAATAAACCATAGTACACTTTGACCTTATTTTACTTTTGATTAATGTATTTTCTAGGTCCTTATTAGATTCTGAGAGTGGCACTATGCCAAACTTGAACACCAAATCATCTAAGCATGTTCAAGCATCTTTGCAACGTTCTCATTTTGTGCGCTCCTACATGGGGAATGAGGATGAACTGCGAGGTAGCAGGAGGCGGCCCATGTTCAGGGTAAGAAATTCAGCAGTTCGGGGAGATAGATAACAAAGTTTGAAACCCTAATGTTCAAACATTATCAGATTTTGATCTATCAAACAAAGTTGATAGCGTATGCGTGTTTCAGACTTATCAAACACATTCTGTATATTTATATTTCTGTGGGAAGACAGACTACAGTATGCTCTTCTTCCAGACTATTAAATTTCATTTGCCAATAAACTATTGTATGCCCATATTTAGTCATGATGTGCCTATATATGGTCATGATGTGATGTCATCATGACCATATTTAGGCATGTCACATGTTTTTGTCAAATAAAATTTCATAGTCTGGACAGGGCTTTAATCAAAGTGTGATTAAACTTTTTTTTTTATTAATTTGTTTAAAAAATTTAAGATGGTTCTGAGTGACAAACTACACCATACTGTGTAGAAACATATATATATAAATGGTTTTTGTTTAAACAGATAATACAGATCAAAATTTGATGATTTTTTTAATCCTGTGTAACATGTATCCTACACAGAACACTTTTATGTGTTACTATTTATCAGAAAACAAAGTGAAAATTTATATATCTACCAATCTGCTTACAAATATTTAGCTAAATTATGTTTCAGATACATAATAATAACAACATGAAAATGTTCAAGGTTAGCTTATCGAATAGCCTCAAATAAGCATTTAGTTACATCCACAGTTATTTCTTTATAGTTTCTTAACTAATAATTACTTGGAGTTTGTAAGAGTTATACCTTCTTTAAAAGCAAAACTTACCATACACTTATTTGTGCATCTTTTGTATTCAAGATTTCTTCCTTTAAAAAATTATGAAGCTTGAGTCTTAGAACAGATTAAAATTTGATAATAATAGGACCCATCATTTCAATATTTATACTAATTGTTGTGAGAAAAACTGCTTTGAGAAATATTTCAAAAGCCATTTGAAAAGAGAAAAAGATTATATTAGGACCAATAAAGACAACACATACTTTGAAATTCTTCAGTAAATTACAAATATTTTCTGATTTTTTTCAAATCTAGTTTATAGAAAGTAAATCAAGATCAGCTTTAAAATAATTTAGGGTTTTACCTTAAATGCAATAGAGGAGGGGAAAAGATCAAAATCAGAACTTTTGAAAATAACAAACCATTTGACAACAAATGCTCTCTTAAAAGTTTATTCATCTAGATATCTCCTGATAAAAATCATTGGAATTGATATAGTTATATATGATTTATAATTATAATAATAATTGTTAATAGTTATTACATAGAAGTTATATAGCTCCGTGCTTATTATTTGAAAAAGGAACTCACAACTAAAAGTATACTGTATACATTCAAAAGTGAAAGAATCTGATGCTCTATATATTAAAAGTTTATTCCAAAAATTTCATCATACAAAACCTTGCAATTTCTGTTGCAGTATTACTGGCATATGTTGCAATTAGCACATTTTATATTTATTATCTCATAATGAAAGGCTGTAATAGGTGGATTTTTTTTTTATATTCATCATTAAATTTCCTGGTTTAAACCCAGAATCCTGGTATAGGAAGGCGAAGCATCTCAGACACCAAGATAAAGCTCCACTTTATAAATTTAAATAATAGTTGATGTATTTCTAATCGTTGTTATTCCCCTAGATAATGAGAAGGATCTCAAAGTCGGCTGCAGACATTTCGAAAATCTCTCTTTATGAACCACTGAGAGAGACATCCTGAAATTTGAGAAACCTGATGAAGTAAATCTTTCTTTTCTCTCAGTCTTAACACCACACCTACTTAACTCTGGGTGAAATTTTATTGCAAGTGCCTGAAAAAAGACAAAAAAGATAACGTTTTCAATATTATAATCCGCTTTAGAAGCAATTTACAGATGTAGTTGTTAGTCTTCAATAACGCTTTGGAAAAAGTTCTATAAATGTAGGTCTGCTTGATAGAGATAGTAAATTGTAGATAGACATAACTTTAACCATCTATAACGATTACACAGCTCACATACTTTAATAAAAAAAAAACTACTGTATCAATATATATTATATTAAAGTATAATCATGTTTGTGTTTATATGTATTATGTTCCTTAATATACATAACATGGTTATCACTGGAAATTTTTGATGTGTGTTTACTGATACAGTTTTATTTCAGATATAGCCCACACCCTATCTGTTATCATATAATATTTTAATCTTGTGTTTTAACTTTATTTCTGATTATATTAATATTATTTCTTGATTATATGTTTGAATTATTTATATTTGCATGTTATTTACACCCTCATATTCATTACTATATAATTTACATTTATGTATTGAGCATGGCCTTTTAATTATATTGCTTTGGATGTTATATATATCCCATTATATTTATGAATGTTTATAACCAATTAATTGTTTGTGTTAATATATTTGTTTTGTTTCATGTTCTTTATTTTTTCTTGAGTTTTGTAGTTTTCTGAAGAAACTGAAATTATGTTTTAGTATAAAAAGTAGCTATGATAGAAAATTTTAAAATAAATAAGTTATAATGATTATATTTTGTAGGCAGACATTACTAAATACATATTTTATTTTTTTTTAAATGTGGAGGACTGGTATTAAGTTGTTGAGATCATGTTAGTATACAAATGGTAACACTAAATCTGAAATAGATTAGCTAAAATAGAAAATGATCACTGTTGGCAATACGCTACTCCAGCAACGAAGAAAATTGAATGCTAAGGCAAGAAATGAAAAAGAAAATTGAGGCAGAAGCAAAAGAGAAAGCGTGTGCAGACAACAAACTAATCTAGAACTTGGCCTAGAAGCCAATTCTTTCTCGTATTTTATTCTTCTACTCTACTGCATTCTCTATATGTGCTGGGCATACACAAATTATTTGAATTTAAATGTTTAAAGTGATACTATATTAAATATTGCAAGCTACTAGTTTTCATAATAAGACCTTTTTTCTTCTTGAAAGGCTCTTCGAATAATGTTTCCATTCAAAAAGTTTTCACCTAGATTCCCTACCAGTCTTGATATGTGTTTTCATGATGTGCTGATATTTGTGTTTTGAAACTTATCTGTTTGATCTGTCTCTCTCTCTGAAATGGTTTTGTATGAGACCATCTTATTCTCTTTCAATCAAAACCTGCATGATTTGGTGGTTGCATCTGGCATGTATCATGGATATTATGATATCTATCTCAGGTTTGAACTAGTTACAACTGGTTGAAACTGGTTAGAACTAATTTGAGAACTAAGTCTTGAGACAATCAGACAGCATGGTGTTGAGTTTTCCAGTAAATTTATTCATTTTTTTTTTTTGTCATCTTGTATCACCCCTGGACAAGCACTCTCTTCATATTATGCTACTCATTTTAACCTTTGAACTTCTAATTGCCTGTCAGTAACGCCATCTTGCATAGCGTCATCATTCTTGCTGACTGATACACGCATCGTTCTATATTTTGCAAGACACAATTGTGTGTCATACCAGTTCCTGTTGCAGACATTGACTGATACTTTTTGTTTTATTTGAATTAATATTCCAGTGGGTTAGTCTTGAGTCTTTGAACAGAGGTGAATTCTGAGACTAAAGTCCCGGTGTGGAGGCAGCCACCTTTTTGTTACCGGTGTGTGAGTCCTATTTACCAGAATATAAATCATCATACTCAATGTAGTACTCCATGGTCTGATCTTCTCATTCCACCTCTGTCTTTTTCACTTGTCTACCGTATTTTTAAAGACATATCTTAAGTATTTTAACCATTCAACTTTTGTGTCCCACTTTCTGTCAGCTGTCTTTTTATTTGTTCAGACGTTACTTTGTCACTTAGTTTCATGTTGAATTTTAATATATTTCTTATATCTTTTATTAATAAGCCACAAGTGCCTTTCATATATTGTTTTATTCTTGTTTCCTTTTTCTCTTTTTATATATTTTTTTTATTTTAAATACAATTTCTGTCTGGGTTTGTAGAAATTTTAATTGAAAGAAATATCTTTTATCCTACTGCACTACAAAGTTTTCTGCTTCATTATGATGGGTGCCATCTATAAATTATTATTAAAATATTGCATTTTAAAATTTCTTATCTTTAGCACATGGGTGGTCTGAGATGTGGGGGAGGGGGGGAATACAACTGTAACAGGATAATTACTTCTGTGGCTAAATTAAAACATTTGCTCACAACCAGGCATCATTGTTACTGTCTACTGACTGACTTGCATATTTGGCATCACAACAAATACTTTTTTTTTATGTTTATAATTTTGTTTTTTTCATTTTTACTTACTTCCCAATAAAAATATAATTATTGTGTTTAACATAAACATTTATGTTTATTCTCCAAACTTTAGGGTTCTATTGGACGAGCATTTGGCCGGAAATTCCGTCAAAGTGCAATGGAAAGCCAGAACCGGGGTAACTTCACTGACACGCGTCCGAAGTCACGAAGTCATGAACTCTTGAACCACTCTGCTCCGTCATAGCCTTAAAAGATGTTTTCTCAAGGCCAAAGAATCCACTTGGATTTATTTATTCCTTATTTGTTTCTTAATTTCTTCAAATGGATGAGATTATTCCACATGTTCTGATAAAAGCAGCTGATTTTTAAAAAAGTAATAAATTCCTCTGGAATTTGTTCAATATCAGCTTCAAGTCCTGGATATCTGATAAGTAAAGTTCTGACTACACTATCAAATTTTCTGTGACAAAAAGAACTGTTTTATGCCTGTCTCTTATACACATCTAGATGTGTATAAGAGACAGGTTTTGTATGAGACCATCTTGTCACTTAGTTTTATGTTGAATTTTAATATATTTCTTATATCTTTTATTAATAAGCCACAAGTGCCTTTCATATTGTTTTATTCTTGTTTCCTTTTTCTCTTTTTATATATTTTTTATAATTTTAAATACAATTTCTGTCTGGGTTTGTAGAAATTTTAATTGAAAGAAATATCTTTTATCCTACTGCACTACAAAGTTTTCTGCTTCATTATGATGGGTGCCATCTATAAATTATTATTAAAATATTGCATTTTAAAATTTCTTATCTTTAGCACATGGGTGGTCTGAGATGTGGGGGAGGGGGGGAATACAACTGGGGGAGTACAACTGTAACAGTATAATTACTTCTGTGGCTAAATTAAAACATTTGCTCACAACCAGGCATCATTGTTACTGTCTACTGACTGACTTGCATATTTGGCATCACAACAAATACCTTTTTTTTTATGTTTATAATTTTTTTTTTTTCATTTTTACTTACTTCCCAATAAAAATATAATTATTGTGTTTAACATAAACATTTATGTTTATTCTCCAAACTTTAGGGTTCTATTGGACGAGCATTTGGCCGGAAATTCCGTCAAAGTGCAATGGAAAGCCAGAACCGGGGTAACTTCACTGACACGCGTCCGAAGTCACGAAGTCATGAACTCTTGAACCACTCTGCTCCGTCATAGCCTTAAAAGATGTTTTCTCAAGGCCAAAGAATCCACTTGGATTTATTTATTCCTTATTTGTTTCTTAATTTCTTCAAATGGATGAGATTATTCCACATGTTCTGATAAAAGCAGCTGATTTTTAAAAAAGTAATAAATTCCTCTGGAATTTGTTCAATATCAGCTTCAAGTCCTGGATATCTGATAAGTAAAGTTCTGACTACACTATCAAATTTTCTGTGACAAAAAGAACTATTTTACGCCCATATATAGTCATGATGTGCCTATATATGGTTATGATGTGATGACATCATGAATATATTTAGGCATGTCACATGTGTTTGTCATATCAAATTTGATAGCCTGGATGTTGCTTTATGATGAATGGTAATAATGAATGGTGATCACAAATCTCTATATATAAAATGTAAGTGGTGGCATTGTTCCAGTATCAGAAAGATGGTCCTTACAATTTTTAATTTATTTTTTATGTGCACATTCATGGGTTAATCATGGCTGATCCATTTTTGCTGCTAGAGAACAGTAAACAGATTAGAAATAATAAACCCAGAAATTTAGGATGTTATCAATAATTTATATACAACTAATGCAGAACTAGACACATCATTATAAACAGTATACATGATACCAACTCTAGTCAGTGGAGTTAATTATAAGAATGAGAATGGTTGTAGGTTTTAAATGTAAATACATGACACAGTTTGTTTGATAATATGACTACAGAAGCTATGTGTCAAAAAAGTGTGTGCTTAGATATTTTAGGATTTTAAGATATAGAATGTTGATGATGATAATGATGATGATATTGTGTTGATTCAATATGGATCTGTTGTTTTTTTTTGTACATACTTTTGATCTGCACATGTTGTACAAAACTATATTAATTATGATAACTATGACAACTATGTTGTATAAGATTTTTGAGGCACAGAGTTACGACAAAATATAAAATACTTTTATAATAACTTTTGACAATTTCTTTCATGATTATGATCTTATGTAATTATTTAATTTTTATTTTTCTTACTTTCTAATTATAGTGTTTTTGGCTTTTTGTGTGTGTGTGTCTAAGTTAACTATAAGCTTATGTGGCAAGTCTGTGCACAATGCATGGAATGACAAAGTAGACTATAAAGTGTAACCACAAAACTAAGTGGGTTTTTTACAAATCTAAATACAGATATTTTAATATCCATGGTGTGATTCTTTCATTTATAATTTAAGTATAATACAGATCCATACCCAATTAACATTTTTTTTATGTCATGTGTGTCTATCTTAAAACCAATAAAATTGTACGTTCTCTGTTATTTAAAAATATGTTTAAAATTAAAAATTTATAGCATAATAATGCAATGTAATTTTAATCAATCTAAAAAATTATGTGTAAAATTAAATTTGATAACGCATTTATTTTTTATCAGTGTTTGATTTTAATATGTAATTTTAACAATGAAAAAGCTATGCTAATGATAATCCCACAGTTTTTTAAAAACCACTTTTAAGTTAAAAACTGACGTATGTACAATGTATGAGGTGAAAAATAAATGAGAATTTCATGTGATGCATCACTCGAGGTTTCATGCACAGTTTAGAAAAATTGATTAATTTATGAACTGTATATTAAGGTATTCTCTTCTTGTATTCTTATTTTCCATTTTATCTGTCTTTCCAAGACAAGTTTTTTTGAGGTGGGCACACTCAGCTTCTGACAGTGTTCGACGTGATTCAGTGGAGAACGCAAGGCGATGAGGCATATGCAACAGATTGCTTAAACTACCACTGATAATCAGCAGATGATGTCACATCGTCAAACACGTACAGAGAGCAGAGACGAATTCGTTGGCCGACGGTCGTATGATCGTCCTATGACGCAGTGTGTGCCCAGCTTTGGGCTCTGTCCACACAATCATATACTTGTATGCCCATATATAGTCACAGTGTGCCCATATATAGTCATGATGTGCCTATATATGGTCATGATGTGATGTCATCATGACCATATTTAGGCATATCACATGTTTTATTCAAACAAAATTTAATAGTCAGGGCATAAGGGAAATTCTGTATGTGGCTTTTCCATATGCTTGTTTCTGTTAGTTTACGCTTTCATCATATTTTAATAACAGTCTGCTATGCCCTTAAAAAGTACTATGTAATGTTGTGCAATTTTCTTTGTATGATGAAAGTAAATGTTTTTATATTTTAGCATCATTTTTTTACCCTCCTTTGTTCTTACCAAAAAATATGTCCCGATTATAAATGGAATCACAATGGCTTTCCCTTGGAACTGTGTTTTTGTTTTGTTTAACTTTTATATTTTTTTTCTGTAGTGGGCTGGTATATAATTAATCTATGAATAATATAATTAATTTACTTGTTATCAAGGAGAGTATGCAATTTTACACTTGTATCAGTTTTCTTTTTAAGTATCCCCATAATGATTTTGTGAGATATGCATATTGCATTTAACATGCTTTTTAACTGAATATAAAATGTAAATGTAGGCTTGGCTTTCAAAACCGGTCTGTGTAGGAATGCATTATTATATAT